GAATCTGGGGTTTGCACCAATTCCCAGTCAATGCCATGGAACACCCAACCAGCCCTATAAAAAAACCAATTAACTCCGGGAAATATCCAATCAATCACAGGAAACATCCCATGAACCCCAGTAAATTCCTAATTAATCCCCTTAAATTCCCAATTAATTCCACAAAATTCAATGAATCTCATTAAATTCCCAATGAATCCCACCACACACCAAACCCCCTAAGAAATCCACTCAATCCCGTAAACCCCTCCCCAAATTCCCCCCTTAATCCCACCCCTTTCCCCATCCCCACCACCCCCAGCCAACAAAAGCCACAGGGATTCTTCCAGGAGTTTTTCCCGGGAATTTTTCCATGAATTTTTGGGGGAATTTTCCCATTAATTTTCCCAGGAATTTTTCCAGGAATTCCAGTAATTTTTCCAGGAATTTTCCCGGGAATTCTCCCAGGCAGGGCGTGCCTTGGTGCCGGGTTTGAGCCCCTCGAGCTGCTTGGGCTTGCGGAAGGTTTTGTGGTGCTGCAGCTTGTGCTCGATCTTGTCCTTGGCAAACAGGAACTGCAGGCGGCACTTGTTGCAGTGGTACACGCTCTTCTTCTGGAAAAAACCCGTCAGCATTAATTAATCATTAATTGTTTCATTAGGCATTGACTGTTTACTAGTTAATACCTGTTATTAAATAGCTATCAATTGTATATTGAGTACTGAATGGATATTAGGACTGAAAACTGCACTGGTAGCAGTGGTACACGCTCTTATAGGAAAAAGCAGTAATTAGTATCAATTCTTATTTATTTTTTATTTATTAATTATTTAATAGTTATTACTTAGCTATCAATTCTTTATTGAGTATTGAATGGGTATTAGAACTGCAGGCGGCACTGGTTGCAGTGGTACGTACTCTTCTTCTGGAAATAATTTTTTTATTATATTATTAATTAGTTAGTAATTATGGAGTAGGTATTAATTATATATCAATTATTAAGTAGGCACTTTTCCCAAGGAATTCCCTGGAACCGGGGCTCACCTGGCGCCTCATGAAGTGCTGCTGGAAGGCGCTGCCATTCTTGAACAGCCTGAGGCAACCCCCAGATCCCATTTTTCCCAATTCCCACCCAAACTCAGTCGATGTTCAGCAGTCCCCAGTTCCCGTTTTCCCGGAATTGCAGCTCACCTGGTGCCTCATGAAGTGCTGCTGGAAGGCGTTGCCGTTCTTGAACACCTTGAGGCAGTAGGGGCACAGCAGGTGCCGCGTGTCCTCGTGGATCAGCCGGAAGTGGCTGTCCACCTCCGAGTACAGCGACGAGCGGTACTGGCACACCTGGAAAACCCGGCAAAACCCGGATGGGGGGTGGGAAAATCCAGGGAGCCGGCGTGTTTGAACAGGATGTGGGAAAATGGGGAAAAAATCCCAGGATTTGGGGCATTTCAGCAGCAGGGTGTGGGAAAATCCCAATTAATAGGGGAAAATTCCATGGTTTTCCATACCTGGCACACACAGGGAATTACTCTGGGATCTGTGTGGTGGGAATTGGGAATTCCAGGCGGGAATTCCGGGAGTTTTCCATACCTGGCAGACGTAGGGCATCTCCCCGGGTTTGTGGGTGTCCTTCATGTGCTGCAGGAAGAGCGGCTCGCTCTCAAACGCCCACTCGCAGATCTTGCACTTGGCTGCACCAAAAAACAGGGGAAAACAGGCAAAAGGTGAGAAAAATGTGGGAGCTGGAGGTGGGGGGGAAGGGAGAAGGGGGGGAAAGAGGGAAAAGAAGAGAGAAAAGCAGGAAAAGGGGAAAAGGGGGGAAATGGGAAAAAGCAGGAAAAGGGGGAAGGGAGGGGAAATGGAAAAAAAAGGGAAAAAAAAAAGAGGGAAGAGGGAAATGGGAGAAGGTGGAACTGGGGCTGGAGAAATAAAACTTGGCTGCGTTTTGGGGTGGATTTTGGGGTGACCTTGAGCAAGGGGTGAGGGAAGAGTGACAACTCTCCTTCCATAAATCCAGGAGGAAAATCCTGATTTAGAGATAAAAAATTCATGGAAAAGCACAGCCTAGGGGACTTTTAGGAGCTGTGCATGTTCTCCAGGTGGAATTGGGGCTGGAGAAGTGAAATTTGGCTGGACTTTCAGGTGGATTTTGTGGTGACCTCAAGGAAGGGGTGAGGGAGGAGGGACAATTTTCCCTGTCCAAAACCCCGATGAACCCCAGAGGAAATTCCCAGGTGAATCCCAAAGAGAAGCAGGAAAAGCACTGACTGCTGGACTCGTAGGGGCTGTGCACGTTCTCCAGGTGGCACTGCAGCTGGAAGGGCGTGCTGAAGTGGCGGTAGCAGTGCTGGCAGATGGTGTGCACGTCCACCTCTCCGTTCTGCTGGTCCAGCTCCACGTGGTGCTTCATGTGGTTCATGAACCTGCAGCGACGGAATTCCCGGAGATTCCCGTTCCCCATCCCGGGAAAATGCCCTCTGTGCATCGCTCCCAGCTGGGTTTGGGCTATTCATGGATTATTCCTGGCGAATTCCTGGATAGTTCCTCACTGGGGGGTGTTCTTGAGGCAGCAGTGCCCAGGCCCCAAGTGCCTGTCATTCCCACAATCCCAGCCCATTCCCACACAACTCCCACAATCCCAGGTTATTCCTGGGTTATTCTCAGATAATTAAAGGATAATTAGCATATAATTAACAGATAACAGCTCGCTGGCTGTTGTTCTTGAGGCGCTTGGTGCAGTGGGGGCAGTGGTGCCTCCATCCCACTGCCCATCACTCCCACACTGCTCCCATCCCATTTCTGGGTTATTCCCAGGTAATTAATGGCTAATTAACAGCTAATTCAGGGCCGATGGCTCACCGGATGTTGTTCTTGAGGCGCTTGGTGCAGTGGGGGCAGCGGAAGGACGTGGGC